CAGGATATTTCTAGAAGGACGTGGCGTGATACTAGTCACGTGACCTCGCTGACGCAACAATGTGTTGTTGTTGGGCTTAGGATTTTTCTACAGTAGGTGTCTGCGACTTGTTAGCGATAAATTCAACGATGAATAAACAGCACGCACTTCACCTGTTTTCAAAATAATATATATATGTTCAGAACAAGTTAACGTATGTACAATAAATTCTTCAACACTATAGATATTATGGGCATATCATAAATACTATATATCATATGTAGTTCTCTCCTTCTTCAAGTTCTTGTCAAATATCCGCTTAGGCCTATTCTGTATTCAATTACTTTAGAATTTCACTTAACAAGCCGAACTATCTTCTCTATTTATATCGTACTAGTAATAGTCTTCTCTGTTATTCACTTACATTACAATTGTGGAGCGAGTTACCGTAATCGTTTGGTCTTCTAAATAAGTTCTTTCTTCTGAAGATCCTCTGTTCCTTTTATCAAAGTGCACTCAGGCTGATTCAATTACTTTAGAACCACTCTTTGACAGAATAAAATTATTTTTCATATCTTCTTTTCCTCTGTTAGTTTCACTCTAACATAATTAAACTTTAGGCCTATCATTTCTACAGTACTTAACTTCACGCCAACTTTATTCTCTCTCGTTACTATTTATCTGCTGTTTACCGCTCGTATCATGTTGTTTATATCTTTAATACCTTTATTGTCTGTTCGCCTTCTATATTGTTACGTCTCCGTTTGTTAATTGATTTTCCGTAAATTCGTTCCGACGAAACTTTAGCGACACGAGTCCTTACTTAATAAAACTGGTTTATTCTTTCCGAATATAACTTTACGATACACCTAATTTCAACAATCGCGCTAAAACAAACGCTATAACAACGAACATGCTCAACTTCAATAATACTTTCTCACTGCAGATCAATTACTCACTACTTACACACACATTGTCACGTCACGCCGTGACCATCTTATATATAGCAGACCACCCTCCAATCTAGTAAATACTAGAGCACTCCCGAAGAAACGGGATAGTTCTAGAAAGCAGGTGGCGTGACATTAGTCACGTGACCTCGCTGATGCAACAATATTATTGACGTCAATATATTACACGTGACGTTCGATATTCTCAACATCAATGAATTATTAACAAAATTTCCTACTGAATCATCTGGTTTTAATTCTTATTATAGCAAAAACTAAAGAATAGTATAATATTCATTTACAAAAATTGATTTATCACTAATACCTAAAGCAAACAGTCTTTTATATCATGACACAATTATATTTAGCTCTCCTAACTGCAAGTGAAATTATATATCTATAAAAACAAGTTTACTTTGCGCTCAACAAAGTTTTCATTAACATTTTTTTATTTGTAAGGAAAAAGAAAACATCGTATTCTCATATGAGATTACAAAGTAGTATACACGAAAAAGCTAGTTAAATGGTGAATAATACAGTCATTCATACGTAGTACTAATTGTAACTATGATCATATATGTGCAAAACTTCAACTTTCACATTAAAGTTTCTAACTAAACCTGCTTATTTTCGTAAAGAAAAAGTACAATTACACATTGTTCATATAATTACAGCTCAATAAATAGAAAAAATAAGTACTAAAAACAGGGGGATGTCTGTACATTCATTGGCAGTGCATTCACTTTCACACATTTAAACCTTTTCTTAATGTAAACATTCCAACTGAATAGACGTGTTGGAACACTTTCATCTTTTAAATTTATAGCCATACTGGATTGTTACTTTTAATTTTAACGCTTCTAATCTGTTGAATTTGTCTGTTTTTACTTCCTTCGTATACTGAACAAGCGTTCAACCACAGTGTTTGAGAATGGAAGAGAAAACAACACTTTTATTAGGTTCAGAATACTGGGAAATTGTAAAGTACCAGTTGGAAATAGTAAAGAGAGTTTGCATTGCCATTGTTCAATAGAGGTAACCACATTAATATTTATATTGTCGGGTAGCTCAACTAGATTTTAAACTCTTCACTTTTCATCTTTCTCACCAACTGACCAGTCTGGAAGAGCAAACCTTCTTAAAATGTTGATTAAGTTTCATGTTCTACATTTTGAGCACCTATAGGACCTAAAATCTAGACATGTCTGAATATCGGATTGTTAAACTGAAATTTGTGTTTTATCTTACACATATGACTTGTAGGATTCTTTTGCATCCGATGGCCCTCTCTCCTTTAATCCACTTCTGTTCGATCGATCCTGTTCAATCCGTATAAATAGTTTATGTTGCTTTCATTTTTGTACTATTTTTACTAGAATTGGCCAAAATTCTGATAGCTCTTGAAATTTATTAAAATTTGGGTTTCTGAAATTGGTATGAAAAATCTTATTCCAGAGCAATAAGTCCTGGAACCTTAGGACAAATCCTAGAATCTGAAAAACACTAGAGATAATCATCTCTCTATGTAGCGTTTCTTTTTTTATGGAATAATACTCTTCAACACCGGTCATTACTTTAGCGCCCTCTAATTTCCATATAACTATAATGGCGGATAGGTTGACGCAATTACAAGATGCCGTAAATGCGGTAAGACTGTAGTCTTATTGTCAAAATTTGTTAATGTCATATCATAAAACTTAAAGTAAGTTTCATATTTGTTAAAGGGATCCAAGCAATTTTAAGTATGGTCAAACACATGGAATACCTGATGTAACTTAAGATAATATTAAACGTAAATTAAAACTTGATTTTGTTTAATTTGAATAACATTAATGAAATTTAAACTTTAACAATTAAATTAAATTTAACTAAAGTCCACGCTTTAGCTAGCAGAAATTGCAAACCTTTATCAAAGTTTATGTAACTACTATCAGTTGTTGTTAGAAAAGCTTAAGATGTTTTGGTCGTGGTATGTTTGAATGTTGTGCTGCAAATCTAAGGGTATATATCAGCTATCATATAATATATCTTATTAATTCATGTACACCAAACAAAATCCACTGAAAATGAAATGAAACTTTAATTAAAAGGTTAGCAGAGCCTACTGCAAAGTTTGATTTCATTACAAACATTCAGGTAAGAATAAGGTTTTGCAAAATATAACTATAGCATTAAGCACTTTAGGAATGACACAAACTTGCAAAGATCAGGGATTTGAGTTTCAGCCAATAGTAATACTAGTAGTAATAATGTAAAGTAGATAATGAAAACTTAAATTTTAAAATAAGGCAAAGCTTCTTTCATAAGTTTCAGGGTAAAGTGTGCTGAAATATAAGTGGGTCAAGTAAGAATTACAATTTAAATTATCAAGGCACTCTCAAAAAGGAGAATGAGCCAGTTCAATTTTGTATAAAGTATACTTTATAGTGCATGTTCCATCAATGCAACCTATTCACAACATTGTGACATTGATTTTGGAGAAAGAAAGTATAAGTAAAGTAACCAATAAATTAAAGAATTCTTCCAATACTGGGTCCAAGAAGATTTGAGCTACCTATTTAACAAACCGCTATAAAAGGGCCAACTTAAAAGCAGAGTAGTAGAAGGTTAAAGGAAGGTTAAGGCCAAGTTTTGACCTCTGAGGCATCATATGATAAAAACTTTTAGTCAAAGAATGGCTATTTTGAATTTTAACTGAGGAGATCTGATTGTGTAAGTTGTGAAAACAATGTAAGAAACATCCTCGATCAGTTGATGACTAAAAACAATAAATTTTTGTAAGGACATCGATTCAAACCATCAAAGACTGCTTCAAGTTAAAAAAATGCTTCTTCCTGACTAACAAAACCCAGATTGCTCAGAAATTAACTCAAATTTCATATTTAATTTTGGAAAAACTACCAATGTTGTATATCCCTCAGCATTCAAATGAACTGTGTAACCACAAATCTTTCTTTAACAGCTACTGTAGTCTTAAATTATTGAGCATATATAACATAATCATAAACTATAAAACAGTTATAATGATAACAATTTGATTAGCAAATAAAAAGGGTGTGCAATTAACAAAACATTGTGGGAGAGACAGAGTTGCTACTTATTTTGTAAAGGGACCATAAATATATAAAAATAGCAATTCCAGAAGTCTTAGTTATAAAAATCTTCTTAAATCAATATGATTGCATTGTTTAGCATGAGTTTAGTATTTAACATACTACTACTTCTATTAATAATAATGTAAACATATCTAAGTCAGGTGATCCTGGAGACTGCATTTTAATTGTCTTGGGTCATTTGGGCATTTAAAAAATCCAAACAGTAGAGGGCTAAAAAATTACAATACATATTTTATTGTATTTCAACTATGATTGGATAATTAATAAATTAAAAGCCCTGTCCAAGAGGTGTGGGAGGTTCATTCATTTGATTATACTTATTACTGTAACTATAGCTAATAATAAATGTTTGATTTCTAACCAGTTAAAGCAATTAACAACAAATATTAAGAAAGATTCTCAGTCTAACTTATTAATACCTAAAGCTATACACTACAATTCTAGGCATAGCAGCAGCTATAATTGTCCCAGTTATTTTTTATTGCCAAGTAGCAATCAGTTAATGCCAGAAAGACAATTTTCTTTTTACTTCTAGATAATTTCCAGAGGTAGAATTTATTGTGTAAAATAAAAGTAACAATTAAATATCTGATTTTGAGTTATGCATGTTTGAGTCGTCTTTCTTGATAGTGACTAGTTGCTAGTTGATAAAACTAGTAAAGATTCTTGTTATAGTGTGTGATAAAATTAATTCTGTGAAAAAAAAGTACATCATTTACTATATGGCAAGAACATTTGTGATGATACTAGATGACCTCTTTGCAGATATTAAAAATACTCATAAGGTGGAAATCAAAGTATTATAAGAAATATAAAAAACATGGCAACACCAGAAAAAGTCTTAAATTACAGATGTTTGTAATTTTTTCTAATTCCATCATCAGCATGAAAAACTTACAAAATAATTAAGAAATTTATAAGAACAAAAAATAACCATAAGATTTTAAGTGAGAATTTGTTGATACTGACAGAAGTTTAGAAAGAATATATTAAAATGATTAATACATTTACAATTTATTGAAAGAAACTGTAGAAACAGAAACACTAATTTTGATTTGATGATTATTTTCTTGATATTAATTGATTTAATCAAATTTCAACTAACTATTTTGCATGACACAAATCATTTCTTGTAAGTGATTGATTAATTGAGTTAATCACTGAGTTCTACAGTTGATATAGGTATATAAAAAAAACATATACAATACACATAATTGTAGCATACCACATGCTCACCCTGCACGGCTTTTTTGGACCGAGTTCCCAGGAATTATTCCTTCACCAGTGTACTTTGTAGCTGGTCCAGTGTGGTAGACATGAGATTTGACCCTGAAGCAGGTCCAATGTGTTTGTTTTCATATCTGGAGAGAATGACTGGCCACGTATTCCTATCTGTAGTTTTATAATTTTACAAAAACAGAGAGAAAAGGCATTACTTTCCATCATAATAATATCATCTCCAGTAATGTGAAATTTACAGTCTGGCCTCAGATGCACTAAATTGTACAGTTGTATGTGCACATATGAAACATTTTACTCGTGATAATATATACATCCGTACACTTATCAGAATAATGTTTAGCAGAAATGAATATTTATTTTAGCAAATTCAAAAAATCAAGCATGTTCACAAAAATTCAGTATTCTTGTGTAATTTTGTTTGTTATATAGTTTTTATAATAAGACAGAAAATATGTACAATATATTGGATAAATATAGTATTATAGCTTAATATTTTACATTTATGAGCCCAAATTATTTTATTCCGAATTACTTATTCCTTATCACTAATGAAAGAGTTATTAAAACTAAAAATTCCTCAGTGGCATACTAAAAGTTTTTTTTTTTCTTGAAGCAAGCAGAAAACTTGTGCAATAGTATTGGAGTTCTTCAACAGTTTGCTCCTCCTAGCAGTTTCCCAGAGTTTGAAAAGTCGGCATCTAAACCAACTCAATCATCTTCAGAAGGTAATGTCAATATTTATTGAAAATTAATCATTTACAAGTGCAGTTTAGCAGGCTTAAATCATGTTGCTAGTCCTACAAATGCTAGACAAATAAATCAAGAAGTTTAGCATTTATTATAAAAAAAGTGTGTATTTTTTCAGTGTTGAAGTGATGTTATGCATTACCTATTCAGCTTCTGCACTTCTAATATAATTTCATTGCAGTTTATAGTAATATTATCTGTGGTGTTATATCACTGTTTCAGTTAGGTCACTATCCTCTATTGGAATTTGTGTTTTTATAGTAGCATATGGAGCAATTTTTTAACATCTGTTGTAAAGTGCAATTTCCTAAAGAATAGGCATTTTCTGAATGATGTCATGACATCACACGATCTTGTTGTTTTTTCCTTATATATTCTAGACATTGAAAAAATTTGCAAATGTCTTTCCACTGTTGTACTTTTTGCTACACTAATAGACAGAGTTTAGTACCGGGTGTATATATATATATATCTTTTCACAGATTCCCAGCTGACCTAAAAAGAAAATTAACATGGATTATCAAAGTTATTATTATATTGCCAAATTTCACAGTATTCCCATATCTACAGTCCACATTTAGTGAAAGTTTTCAGAATAGATATATTAAATAATATTTGGATAAATTTGAACTTTATCATTAAATAAATGTATAAGTATTATACTCTTTATAAATTATTGAAACTATTGAGATTTGATAAGAGCCCCACATTTTTTAATGAGTAATTTTTGTAATTACAATTTCATAAATATTGCATTAGATTAGCTAGGGTCAGTCAGACACCACTGTGTTGTAGACCAAGACAGGGTTCACATGGGTCAGTCAAAAGTCAGGAAATTTTAATATTTTTTCAGGAGCAGAGAAAAGTCGGAGAATTTTAAAATTGTCATGGAAATTTGAGATTTTAGCAAAAAGTCAGGGAAATTTTAAATACTCTATAACTGCATGGCTAAAGCACTATTTTTTACCTTTGGCATAATTCTTAGATGTTTGTCAGCACTTGCTATCTTCAATGATTGATCTTAATAAAACAATTCAAAAGCATGTCAGTGAAAAGAAACTAAAAGGAATTTTTCTCCTTGCTTCCTGAGCTACTTTCGTTTCAGCAGTAGAATGGTGGCAGATATATGTTGCTTTATAATGATATTAACCAACAGATCTTCATAGAAGTTAACTTTTCATCATTTTTTGTGTGAAATACACTAAACTCTGACCAACTTGTTTCATTTTAGTTACAGGCAGGTGTTGCTGTACAAATGAATTGACTTTTTTAATAATTTAGTTTTCTTTTCAGGGTAACGACTGCTCAGAACAGTAAATACCTAGTGATTTTATAACAGAGAAAATACTAATAAAATGAGTAGCAAACAAACAAAGCTCAATACACATTAGCTAAGTGACTCTGGAGTTTCCTCATGATTAGGAAAAGACCCGGGTTTAGATCTAAGAGTACCATACATATTATGTGGGAGTAATTTTGAAGTAGGAAGTAAGGAGAAAAGACACAAGAAAAAAAGATCAAGGTACAAAATGCTAGAGTTAAATAACAAATTCTCCCCTTATCTGCTTTCTGGAATAAGCCAGAGCCCTAAATGAACCAAGATGAAATAGAGGTTGAGAAAGATCAGTTGGTTGTATCACCATCACCAGCATGACAGTCACAGCAAATCAAAATAAGGGGTCACACCCATCTCAGATGTATAATAAATGAAAAGGTTTTGACAGAAAAAAATTTATGGTCAATAAAAACCATTCTGAGTCGCTACTCATCTAGTTTGAGTTCAAATACTGACCAGCTGTTTAAAAAGATGTTTTCTGACAGCATTATAGTGCAGATATTTTCTTGTGGCACAACAAAATGCTCTTATCTGATCCATTTTGGAAATGGCATTTATTTCTAAGAAGATTTAATGAGCAAAATTTAACAGTCAGGGACAATTCTTGTTGTATAATTTGACAAGTCACTGAATAACGTTTTATAGGAAGAACAAATGGACTTGTTGCTACACTTGGGAAACAAAGAAAAGAGTTGTAAGATGATATTTTGACTCAGAATTTGATGAACACACAAGATCTGAGAATTTATTAGAACAGTTTAAGATAAGTGAATAGAGTTGTTTAAACATTTGTTTAACAACAAGTAAAAGCTTGGAATGGTCTATTCTTTCATTGGTGGTGTGTCTTTGAGCCAGACCAGTTTCGGAGAACTCCACTCCTCATCAGTGACCCTGGACACTACCACCAATGAAATTTTAGACCAAACCAAGCCTTTATAGTAGTGAGGTATCGAAAATCGAAATGGTGTATTTAAGTAATTACCATTCAAAGCTTTTACTTGTTGTTAAACAAATGTTTAAACAACTCTATTGAATTATGTACCAGCTGCCTAGTGTCGACTAACAATACGAATAATTAAACTGTGGCCGAAAGCTACAAGTTCTTCAAATACCTATAGAATGATAGGTTTTTTTTTGTGAGTGTAAAACACTTAGATACACATATTTTATTTTTATTTTTCTATTTGTGAGGGTGCTTTAACTACGGCAGCCAATCTCGCTATTCACTTAAGAGTAACCACAAAGTCGGTGGGGTGTTTCTGAATGGTTGCGCAATTCTATACTCTGGAGTTTCTGACTTCGCCGTTTATTCCATGTGTCGCAAACGCGCCCTTCATGTTGGAAATATAAAATACCGAAAATACATGCGTGTGTGTACGTAAATATGTGAACTCCTACTTCACTCGTAAAAAGATCTATTTGAACATTAACTCAAGAAGGTATGTGAACTACAAAGGGTTTTTACTATAACTTGCTCTTATTACTGTTGAAAATCTGGAACTTGCTTACTAAATGACAATAAATTGTGTAGCTTTGTACTAAACAAACACCAAACCAAACCTGACGACTCAAGTTCCTTTTCGAATAGTATAGCTGGATGAAAACTAAGGTTTCACAAGACAAAGAAACACTGAAAACAGGTTTCTTAAATAAGCATTTAAAAAAAGTGCTGTTTATGGTTAAAAATTACCGAAATTTTGTAGTTCTTTTATTACTCCTAATTTTATAATGTTTATCGTATTTTAGAGTATGGAATTACGTTGATACGTACTAATTTCCCAGCTCATAATGCAGTTAATGAGTATTTTCACTTTTATCAATCGTTAAGTTGACGAAAAGATGGAAATAAATGCAAATAAGTTTGTTGTGATTACATGTTTAACAAAAATTTCAATGATTTTTTGAATTACTGGATAATAATCAGGTGAAATAAAATTTGTTACGAGAAAAATATATTTGTTTTGTTTATAACGTGAATATATTTGTTATTAGCCAAATATGAGCTCTATACACTTTTGTACATTATGTAATTATTCATGGTTTGATCATTGAGTTGGTGCTTCAGTGAAATGTTACTTTGATTTAAAGTTATTAACGATGCCAATCCATTACCGCACAAAAAGTGTAACGCTATTTCATGTTTTCCAACATCTAATTATGACTTAAGCTACTAATCTTATTAAACAGTATATAGCTCGAATTTGGTAAATGTAATGATATTATTAGAAGAAAATACTTAAATGTTGCTTAAGCATTCATATTTACAAAATTCAATAAAAATGTAACGAGATTATTCATTTATTTTTACTATTTTAGAAAAGTTGGTAAATGTGAGGCAGCGGCACTTTAAAGTGAATTATATTTTGCTTTTATTTTTTTAGTTTTATTAATTTCTATCTCGAGTAAATCAATGACTTTTATAGTTTAACCTTTGTAACACATCAGGCATCACATTGATTGTCATTTAGTGTGTTACTAGTGTGCATATAATTTAAGACATCGGCCAATGGCAATATTAAACTCACATATTGTGCTTTTCGTACAAATCTATATAAATCAATTATTTTGCCATTAATATATTACTATTAACAGAGCTTTTTGTTTGTTTATTGTTAAGCACAAAGCCACACGGTTATCGAAACCAGATTTTTAGCTTTATAAGCCCGCAAATTTACTTCTGACCCATCTGGGGAGGAAGGCTACATGTCAGAATTGAAGGAACGTCACAATATATTTCATTCCAATCAAATAACAGTAAATATTTTTGAATTTTAAATACAACTTATTAATATCTAATCTTACGTTTCATAAATTAATTGAGATTTTGATAAATCATATATTTAAAACATTTTTTCGCATTTAGCGTCAGATATCAGTCTGATCATTAGCTAATGATTGATAATTAATTAATTAATGACGATACAAATATCATGGTGTCAACTAGTGTTTCTGTGTTTCGTAAATAACACTATGTTTATTATTACTTTCATTAGTAGCATTGGTTATACTAGTTAATATATCGAATGTCATTATTATTTTTTTATTGTTTATTATTATACTTTTATTATAAAGATTGTTTTGCTTTGTGAGCTTAAATTATACATTTGGAACTAATCTAAATTCCGTAATCTGGCCGAACCTCGTGAGATATTATTGGGATTGCGGCCGAGAGTATCATTAACAGGAAATGTACCAAACTATTGAAAAATGTATTATAATCCTTATAAGATTGGCCAAGTTGATTATGAGTTTCACTCTAAGTACATAGCTTACAAAGCTAATCGGAAGTTATTATTACTGTCGTAGCATACGTTAATTAATGATAAATAGGCATCTTACTATAGCAGAACAAAGTTACGTGGTAAAATAGTGAACCACGTTGTTAGTCATTTAACGGGACACATTACATCCGGCTCAACTGATATCATTTGTAACATGACCTCCAACTATTCGTAGTATGGAATGGCGAAGTTAACTTTATTATATCTTTCCTAACTTAAACTAAGTTATACATATCTTTAGTAACGTTAAACTTTACCAAGTCTATTACGAAGTTTAATTGTACTCTTACTAAATTTTGTATTTAAATACTTATAATAATTTTTTTTCTTTCCTTTTAAACATTATAGAGTATTTGTTGGC